CATGGCCTAACACTTAGAGAAATCTCCAAAGTATTGAATAACGAGGGGACAGCCTCAAGACGAACCGGGCACTCAAACACTGGCAGGTGCCCGCCTCGGCCCCAGCCACGGGCAGTAGTTATCTATATTCTGGTTTGACACTTAGACAAATTTCGAAGTTGGAATAGCAAAGGCAACAAACAAAAACATTTAAAGCCGAAGGGGACAAAAGCAATCCATTCAATCAAGAGGTCAAGTTCCATAAGGGAGCGCTTCGGCCATCACACTGACACCCTTACCGGCTACGACTACAGAAACCAGATGTGACTTCCTGTTTAAGACATGGGACATGGGAACAAAAGGGCCAAAAACAACACCGGGCCGACGAGATCACCAAGTGTGGTATTTGGTTCAACACTTAGGAAATTTTCCAAAGTTTCGGGCAAAAGTGAAAGGGGGCGTAATACCAAGACGACGCGAACACCCACTCACTTGAAGCCTTGATACTTAGAATATTACCTAAGTCCCAATTCCAAAACACTCAGACAAATTTTGAAAAACCTGAGAACAAAAGTAAAGGGAGAACAAGATGACGAGAAGACAGAATAAGGCCGAAAACATATTTCATTCATGAAGTCATTACATGGGAGGGCGCTTCGGCCATTACATTTAGACGGTAAACAAAAACTACTAATTACAAAGCAAAGTCTGTTATGGACGATCAGGCCTCCTGAGCGCCCTCATCGGCAGCATGACCCGCAACGTCCTGGTTAACGACGAACTCGGCACCACCCTCGGACTCCGCATCTAGGTCGGCCTCTACAGCGGAAGTAGCGGTGTCGGCCAAGACATCATCTTCACCATAGTCTGGTTCGCCGAGGCCGGAACTATCTATTGGAGCCTGCCTGTCGCAAAGGGGAAGTTTGACCTGCTCCGATGCTGGCCCATGTTGTAATACAAGGACATCTCACGCTCAAAATATTCTTGGCCGGCAGGGGAGTTCTGCCCCCAGTCCTCGAGCTTGGCCGCTACGACTTCATAGCACCAGGGCAGGTGCTCATCGGCCTTCCAGTCTTCGGCCAAGAATTTCTCCACAGCACCATTAGCGGCCTTCACCGCTGCAGCCTCGGCTTCGGCTTTGGCCCTCTCAGCATCATCGACCCGCCGACGATCAGCCTCACATGCATTCCTCTCTTTGGCCAGTTTGGCCAGGGCCTCTTCCTTGGCCGCATCGGCCTCATCGGCCCTCTTTTGCAAGGCTGCAAAGTCCTCTCGCAGCCTCCCTAAGCAGCTCATGGCCTCATCGGCCGAGGCTGCCTTCTGCTCAAATTCCTTCAAGCGGGCAATCTCCCATTGCTGCCTTTTGTTGCTCTCCATGAGCATGAAGGCACCCTGCAACACAAAATGCTATCAGACAAGTTCGCAAAAAAAAAATCAAAGGAAAACAACAAAGCTAAGGACGAAAGGATTTACCTGGACGACAAGGTCCATCCCACCGTCGTATATATTGACATCGCCAAGCTTATCAAGATAAACCCGGTCCTTGGCCGGAATGGCCTGAGAAAGCACACTATGGCCGTCAACGCCATCGTTGAAGACCCCCCCGTCCTTGGGGTATTCAACCTCCACCTTGTAAGTGGTCGTAGCCACCTCCTTGCCGGACCGCTTCGGCCGGGAATCCTCAGCAAGGGAGAGGGGTTGAGAAACATCCCCGGAAAGACCGGAGGTAAGATCCACGAGGGCAGCTGCAGCACTGGATCCCCCTTCGTCCACAATCGGGACGGTTAGTGCACCAACCTCATCGGCAACGGCAGAAGATGAAGCCTTCTTGGACTTCTTGGCGGGTTGCATGCCGGCCTCAGTTAGCTTCCTCTGAGAATCATCCGCCGGCCGCTTTTTCTTCGGTGGGGGGGGGGGGGGGGGGTGGTTTCTTCGTCACTTCACCATCGGCAGCTGCCTTCGCCGTGGCCTCCTTGGCGGCCAACTCCGCCTTCGCCTTCACAGCGGCGTTGTTCATCACTGATCGGCGATCCATTACAAAATCTACACAACAAAGAAACAAGTTAGCAAAGTAAAAGAACAAAGTAAAACGAGGACGCCGTAGGAAGTATTACCATCAGCTTCGGCAGGGACGCCCAGATCGGGGCCGTCGGCCTCCTCGAAGGTAGTGGTCATATTCGGCCACAGTTGGACGTCATCTTCCTTATCACCATACAAGAAGTATCTAAAGAAGCCGATAGCGGTCATCTTATACTCCGTAATGTAATCCTTCACACTCCTCGGCTCCCCCTCTAGGAATGCCTCCACCTGAGCATCTAGGATCGAACTCTTTAGCGGGTCATGAAGATTAAACCTCCCATCATGGCCGATGGAGGGGAACTCAGTGCCACCCTCGCCCAGGGACACGAAGACAAATTTGCTCTCCCAACCATGTATGGATGAAGGCAAGTCCGTGAAGGTCCTCTTCTTCAGCAGCTGCTGCAGAGTGGCGTAGCAGGCGCAATTTTTATGGCTCCCTCGGCCAATCTGATAAAGGTTCATAAAGAGGGCCGTTGTCGGCCTGTAACCTAATTCAGCACAACGAAGGAGGCACCCCACCATCAGCGAATAGCTGTTAGGGGTCAGCAAGGCCGGAGGAAGCCCCACCATGTCCAAGTATTCCTTGATGAAGGGGTGAAGGGGAAACCTTAGCCCCTTGGCGAAGCTCATCGGATACACTCCGAAGTATCCCGGCGGCGGATTGAGCACATGGTTCGTCGGCCTAGGCGCCCTAACCCTCCCAAACGTCCCCACATACATCTGTGCGACCAAATAATCAGCAGCGCTGCTCTCCGGCTTGATAAGGAAAATGTTGGTAAGGTCCAGGTAAGAGAAACCTGGGCCCTTCTTCGGCCGCCTGTTCCTCTTCGGCCGCGGCACCCCCTTCACAGCAGACACCGGCTTCGGGCACAAAATGGTAGTAGAGGCGGACGCCCCGTCCACTACGCGGGAGACCCCTGCGTCCTCACCCTCAGATGACGAGGCGGACCCTTCGTCCTCGTCCTCCTCGTCCACATTATCTCCAGACTTATACGGGCTCAAGTGTTCAATCTCCTCGGCACACTCCTCGATCATGTCATAGTCAAGAGACTTGACGGAGGTCTCGTCGTCATACGGGTAATACTCCTCGTTCAAGGTTTTCATCTTAACAACTCCTAAGGCACTAAGGGGATCTACTTTAGATCTAAAGTGTTTTTCGTGACTAACACTGGATCAAAGGCTAGAGGGAGCAAAATATGTAAGAGATCGAAGAAAAGATTAAGGAACTGACCTTGAAGTTTTGAAGGAGGTGAAGAACACTCAGCAAAAGGCTTTATCTCTCTAGAATTTTGGGCAGCACTTCGTTTACTCAGAATGCAAATGAAGGCTGTCTTCGGAACGGGGAGGGTATTTATAGCCCCCTTCCCAACGGTAACTACACGTGGCATCATCTTAGTGGCCACACCAACGGCCACCAATGGGATGCCACCATTCTGTCAATAGGCCAAACCCCCTCCACAGATCAGCGGCCCACCAGCAAAGCAGGCCCTACGGAGCAAGGAAGGGAGCCCAACCCGTATTTTTCCTATAAATACTCCTTCTGGAGGTAGTTGTAGGGGTTCCAAAATCATTCTATTGAAGCATTACTTGCACTTCTCTCTCTAGCTCTCGCTTCTCTCTAGATATATACTCTATCAATTACGATAAGGGTTACTAGGTGAATGGATCGGGTTATGTGCCAGTTCACCGGTTTCTGTGCTGACCTGCTCGATTTGGTCCGGTTTCTTAAACATAGGTTAGGCTCCAATCTAACAGTTTTTAACTATTTATGTTGTTGATATATATTGTGTTGCATTCAATTTTTAATAATGCAATATCGTATATACTAGTGTTGAGTTGAGTTTCAAGTAGTGTAGTGCGTTGTAGGCCCGATTTAGCACGCATGTTTCATGTTTAGAATGAATTAGAGTTCGATTCCCTGCTAGGCTTTTTCCGTTCTTACTAAAATTCGGTAAATATCCCTGACGTTTACCCCACCATTATAGATGGTTTGTCTATCGGGTTTAAAAACATAAATACTAGAGCTGAGTTTGGGTGTTTGTACTTTTCATATGTGAGCTTATTGTATAATACTAGTAATAAATGAGTTTTGAATTGTTTGAATGGAATCTTATCGATCTTGGACCTGAAAGATAGACGGATTATCAATCCGGAACCTGAAAGATGAAATGTATCAATATAGGACTCCAAAGATACAAAAGTATAGGACCTAACATTTTATAGGTTTTGATTTATTTAATTTTTTATTGATTCCATTGCTAACATTTGGTGAAACTTTCTTCACAGAAGCTTATTAGTTTAATAAAACTAAATATTATTTAAATTTTTTAAAATGAAAGTAATAATAAAATTTATGAAAACTTAGACCCTAAATTGATAGTTTTCCATCTGTAACACCGACCCCGAGCATATTTACTTTTAGTAAATTATGTAATAAACCTTGAAAGATGATTTATGAATTTGCGTAATTGTTAAATTTCATTATTTCTTTTACGTGAATAGTAAATTGCATGTGGGGCCCACAGCGGGAACGTGGACCGCCCGATAATTCCCGAACCACATATTATATTCATCTTGGTCTAGATGACACCTATATGGGGGTGGATATTCTATTTGGGTCATAAGAAAGGCATGGAGTTGACCGGTTGGTCAAACGGGGCCCAATTACCGGTATTGGCAATTTAACGGATAACAACCCGAAATGAGTTTCGGAGAGTCCTAAATTAATGTTGGGGAATATACATCTATTCTAAAGGCCCATAATTATCAGGAACACGTGATATATTTTATTTGGCCCGATAAAATAAAATATGATTAAAACGGACCGAGAAATACAACTTTCGGGGCCGATTGTACACACTGGGACGTAATGGGATGACCTCCCACATAAGTGGGGGCCACCCCACGTTTTTATGGGTGCTGATTGATCAAATAATGGGGGAGGGGAGCAGCTAAACGTGCTGGTACGCACAAGGGAGAGGGAGGAAGTCTCCTTTGAGACAAAAACCCATGCTAGGGTCCTATCCCACCCAAATCATTGTGTTGGTTGAAAAGGACCTCTCCCCTACCCTCTCTTCAATCCATTCGGCCAGCACAAGGGAGATAAGGTCCATGGAAAAGGCTCTCAAAGTTCTGGAGCTGAAGAAACCAAGAGGAGAGAAGGATCCAAGAAGAAAAGTTAGAAGAAGAGGGTAAGAACACAATTTCTACTCTTTTAACTAGTTTTATTGTGCATGATTTTTAAGAAATCATATGATGGATTAAATCATGAGTTCTACACGTTTAAAAGTGTAGAATATTGATATAAAGTGGTGGTAATTAACTTAGGAGGGTTGACCAATCGATAGGAGTCGAAACCGCCGGAAACCGCCACTTCAAAGGAGCTAGTCGTAGTTGCAGACCACGAAAGCCGCCCGGCTTTCGTGAAAGCCGCCCGGCTTTTGCCCAGCAGTTCAGTTCTACACCTTCAATCGGCCTAGAACGGGGATTGATCGAGGGGCTTAGCAAAGGCAACTATTTTAGCACTTCATAAGGTGAGGATGGCTGACTATATTGCTTATAATTAGTGAGTTAATTTCATGAGATTACCGAAGGTAATTAAATGTGTTTTTATGGATTATTAATGATTAATAATGCCTAAAAATGAAAAGACTAAATGTCTAGAGAAAAAGGAGCATGATATACAAATTTAGGAGTAAATTGTGTATGTTCATGTGTTATGAGTATGTTGACTTGAAAGTGGAATTTATTATGAAACATGTGTTGAAATATACTTTTTTCTTCATATTAGAATATATGAGTGATTAAAAGTGATATTTTGGATATTGAGATAAATGATATTTTCAAAGGAAAATCGGTTGGAATTGTCTATATGACTATGAGTTGAGGACTTGGTTTGTTGATATTAATTTGACTAGTATTAAGATACTAGTTGGACATTAAAATGAAATGTTGTTAAGATTGATCCTAAGGTTGGATTGTGAAATGTTATGCCTTAAGTAGTCTTAAGAGATGCTTTAAGGTAGGAAAGTATGAACTCTAAGTTATACTAGGGGTAGGCCTTAAGGGATACCCAAGATAAAGTAAATAATAAATTGATCCTAAGTATAGGATTGGCCTACGGGTGTGTTCGGTAGTCCTTGTGGATAGCCGGTTGAATTATGGAAATAGTAAGGACCATGGCCCTTCCCGACTCTAGAGAGCGGGGTTGGATAGCATGGACTTACATCGTGATCACGGGTTAGGGTGGAATCCGAATCGGAGACCTAACTAGGTTCCGGTAGCGGTAACACATAAGATAGGACCCCGAAGGGTCTTACCTTCCTACGGGATGATGGGTATGAGTCCAGAGGCGGGATGTTGGAGTCCGAACTGGGAGCCTCATGAGGTCTCGGACAGCGGTAGCAAGTCCCGTAGAAATAATAAGACCCAAGGGTTGGGTTGTGCAAATGATAAATGAAAAGGAACATATAAGAAGGGCCGTGTGCCGACAAATAAATAAATTTACTTATTATAAAGATAATAAGTGGGAAATATAAATTATTATTTATTTTATGATATCACCCTATTTTGAGGGTCTTGGAAATTAAAACGTTGATTATACTTAGTATAGTTGCTATTGTACTTGTCAAATATTTCCAAGTACTGACCTCCCCTTCACGGGGGAGGCCACCTCACAGTTTCAGGTAGGACTTGAAGGTTGCTACCGGTGCCCGTTGCTCGGGATATTCAGATGAGAAGACGTGGTTCGTGCTTCTTCTGTTTCCTGTTTTCAAAACAATTATAACAATGCTCATGGATACTATTTTCTGAATAATTACTTTGGGGGCTTGTATGCCTAGTTATGCCAAGTGTGGCTTGAACAATTGTATTAATGCTTCCGCTGTTTTAAATGAATGTTTTACATTATGTTTGTTTATGGATGTACTATGTGTGAATGATATTCATGACGCCTTGTATAGTATGGATGAGTTGGACTGCGGTTGACTATTCGTACTGTACGGCGGGTTGTTGACGTGTCCGGCTAGGTCCGGGGCGTGACAATTTAATTGGTATCAGAGACTTAGTCCGTAAACATCATAATGAAGCTTCAAAATGCTTTTTGAAAATGAAATTGAAAACCATGAGCATAAAGTTTTGTACTTATAGAACTTTTGGTACTTGAGTTGCAATGTCTCTAATTGTTAAGATGGTACCCTTAACATTTGGTATGGCGGTGATTTGAGCCAAAGGATGTCTTTAAGTGCCTGTCCGTCAATTGACATTTGATACGAGTCTAATGACTCATTCTAAATTTCTTTCAGAAATGGAACGTGCCGGGAAAGTTACTCGACGGAACCCGACTGGCCAGGCACCGGGAGGATCCCAACGTGGCAGCCGGGGAGGGTCGAGGGTGTCTCGGGGACAGGGCCGTGCAGGCCACTCACTGACGGTGAGTGACGGTCATGTGGAGACGTATGATGAGCAATATGAGTCCGAGGAGGATTCAACTTACCAACCGGGAACCGAACCGGTGGAAACCCCATATGACGGGGAAATTGATGTGAGCGAAGAGAGCGACGATAATGACGCTCTTGAAAGAATAGAGGAACTACTCCGACAGTACCACCAAGATCGCCAAAGGCGCCGGGCAAGGCGTGCTTTGGAAGGGGCTTCAAGAAGAGGAAGCCGTGTGACTCCTAGGGAGATCATAGAACCCTGAGGAGGGGGAGGTGCTGAGGTCCCTATAATAAGGATCTCAAAGTACCTCAAAGAGGCAAGAGACTTGGGATGTAAACCGTTTGATGGAACAGGGGACATCTCCGTGGCGGCCGAGTGGATCAAAAGATTCAACGAGGCGGCCCTCGACATGCAACTACCACCCCACATGAAGTTGAGAGTATCCACGAGGCTACTAGAAGGCATGGCGTCCACGTGGTGGGATGGAACAAAAGGGAAGTACGGCGAGGCCGTCACTTGGGAGAATTTCAGACAGGAGTTCTTCAGCCAATACTACTCCGACTTCGAGGTGAACTTGAAGAGGAGGGAGTACACGAATCTGACCCAAGGAGGTGAATGTACGGTGAAGGAACTTGAGCACAAATTCAGAAAGCTTGCTGAGTTCATACCGGAGTACATTTGTGATGAAAACCGGATGGTGAACCACTTCTGGGATGCCTTGGACCTTGACATACGCGAGAGGGCAACACAATTGCCTAATATGACGTTTAGTCAAGTGGTTGAACAAGGCTTGAAGGGGGAGAAAGAGTGGGAGGAAAGGAAACGAAGGAATGCCGAGGAGGCAAAGAAAAGAAAATGGGAGAACCATGGCCCTCAAGGTTCCAACAAGAAGGGGAACCACGGGGGAGGCGGATCCTTCAAAACCCTTGCACCACCGGTAAGGGGAAATCAAGGCCCGAGCGGGCAAAGCTCTGTGTCACAAGGCTCAGACGTGAAGAAGTGCAGCAACTGCAAGAAGAACCACTTTGGCAAGTGCCGTGATCCCCCGAGGTGCTATCAATGCGGGGAGGTCGGGCATTTGAAGGTGAGTTGCCCACAACTTGGGTGAGCCATGGGGGCCGGACCAAGCAGTGGAACGACGGTGAGCAGGAACCGAACCGGAGCACCAAATGCTAGCGGTGGGCACGGTGGGGCGAGTGCCAGCAACGCGCCATCCGTAAATCAAGGAAGGACCCAAGCTCGGGTCTATGCTATGACGGAGGCGGATGCTCGTGCCAACCCGGACTCCGTTGCGGGTAATTCCTTAAACTCACGTATTAATTTTCCTAAACAATAGGAGTGTGGAACTTGTAAAATTATAACCCCGACGAGTTTGGTCGGGTTTGAGGGGGAAAAGGGGAGGAAAATCCTCGCCCTGGGTGGATGCCGCCCGACATTGACGAAAGCCGCCCGGCTTTCGTCTTGATTTATTGGAACAAAAACTACGGCAACGAATGCCGGCCGGCTTCCACCAAGAGCCGCCCGGCTTTCATATATATTAAATCAGCAATTTTCCTCGCAAACGAAAACCGGCCGGCTTTCACAGAAACCGGCCGGCATTTGGAACATTTATTCCGGAATAACCTGCGGCGCTCAAAGGCGCCCGGCTTTGGTGAAAGCCGCCCGGCTTTCGCTAGGCCTTGGGATTCCTGCGCTGCTGAAACCCGGCCGGGTTTCGTAGAAACCGGCCGATCCTGAAATCCATTCCCTGAGTAAAACTACCGCGACGAAAACCGGCCGGCTTTCGTGAAAGCCGCCCGGCTTTCGTGATTCTCATACAGGGATTTTTCTCGCAGATGAAAACCGGCCGGCTTTCGTGAAAAGCGGCCGGCTTTCACCTAGTTGGGTCCTAGAACAGTCCTAAAGGCTAGAAACCGGGAAATTTCGGAAGGGTATCGAACGGACTCCACCCGAAACACGACCAACATACTCTACGACTTAAGAAACAAGCCTATTGATTAGATATAGTGTGTCTTACATTACTTATGAATGTAGGAACACTAAAGATAAACGGGAGAGACACAAGGATCCTTATTGATACCGGGGCGCAACGATCATTTGTGAGTGAGGCGTTCGCCAGCGGATTCAACGGACCACTTGTACCGATGACTCAAACCCTATTGGTATCCACGCCTCTAGGGGATGATATCGAAAGGGATAGCCACTATCCATCGTGTGAGGTGGAGGTGGAGGGACAAAACTTGACGTGTGACTTCGTACCGCTGAGCATGATCGAGTTCGACGTGATCCTCGGGATGGATTGGCTAGAGAAGCATCATGCTAGGGTTGATTGTTATACGAAGGTTCTCGAACTCGAAAGTGGTGAAGGTTGGACCTTACGCTTCGAGGGAGATAGAGGCAAATCAAACAGTTGTATCATATCCGCCGTGAGAGCGAGGAATATGATGAGAAAAGGATGCCACACATATCTAGCTTATGTGGTGGACAAAACCAAAGAAGAGGTAGACATCAACGATGTGAGAGTTGTGTGCAAGTATCCGGATGTTTTCCCAAAAGACTTGTCGGGGCTTCCACCCGATAGGGAGATTGAGTTCGTGATCGAGGTTGAACCCAGCACCAAACCAATCTCTATACCGCCATACAGAATGGCACCCGCTGAACTTAACGAGTTGAAAACCCAATTGCAAGAGCTATTGGATAACGGTTTCATAAGGCCGAGTCACTCTCCGTGGGGAGCACCGGTCCTTTTCGTGAAAAAGAAAGATGGAACACTTCGAATGTGCATTGACTATCGTCCACTAAACAAGGTCACAATCAAGAATAGGTATCCCTTGCCTAGGATTGATGACTTGTTTGAACAGCTCCGAGGAGCGACGGTGTTTTCGAAGATTGACTTGAGGTCGGGGTACCACCAACTGAAAATAAAGGAGGATGACATACCGAAGAGTGCATTCCGCACAAGGTATGGTCATTTCGAGTTCCTAGTTATGTCGTTCGGGCTAACCAACGCCCCGACGGCATTTATGGACTTGATGAACCGGGTATTTCATAAATACTTGGACCGGTTTGTGATTGTGTTCATAGATGATATCTTGATTTACTCGAAGAGTGAAGAAGAGCATGAGAAGCACTTGATACTTGTTCTTGAGACACTACGGGAGAAGCAACTCTATGCCAAGTTTTCCAAATGTGAATTTTGGCTAAGGGAGATTGGCTTTCTCGGGCATGTGGTTTCGGGATCAGGGATTGCCGTAGATAACAAGAAGATCGAGGCCATTACTGAATGGGAGAGGTCAAAGAACGTCAAGGAAATTCGTAGCTTCCTTGGATTGGCAGGGTACTACCGAAAATTTGTGGAGAAGTTCTCAGTTTTGGCATCGCCATTGACAAAGCTCACTCGAAAGGGGGCCAAGTTTGTATGGGATGACCGATGTGAGAAGGGATTCCTTGAAATGAAGAAGAGATTGACCGAGGCACCGATACTCGCACTACCCAAACAGGGTGTGGGGTACGATGTCTACAACGACGCAAGCATCCAAGGGCTTGGATGCGTCTTGATGCAGAATGGGAGGGTGATTGCCTATGCTTCACGACAGTTGAAGAAGCATGAGGTAAATTATCCCACTCATGACTTAGAGCTGGGGGCGGTGGTGTTCGCATTGAAGATTTGGAGACATTATCTCTACGGGGAAACATGTCATATATACACCGACCACAAAAGCCTGAAGTACGTGTTTACTCAGAAAGAGTTAAACATGAGACATAGACGGTGGATGGAGTTGGTAAAAGACTACCATCTAGTTATCGAGTACCACCCCGGTAAAGCCAACGTGGTAGCGGATGCCTTGAGCCGAAAGAATTCATCTGGGGCATTATTGACTAGCTTGAGGGCATTGAGAGCCCAATTGGAGGTATCTAGCGATGGTGCCTTGTTAGCTAGATTCGAGGTGAGACCTACATTACTTGATGAAATCAAGAAGGGTCAAGAAACCGACGAAGAACTTATGAAGATCCGTGAACGCATGCTAGCGGGACCGGTTGAGGATTTCAGGGAGAGAGACGATGGTCTCTTATTATTTCGTGACCGAGTGTGTGTACCGTTAAATGATGAGCTCCGAAAGTCCATCTTAGAGGAGGCTCATTCATCGGCGTATGCCATGCACCCGGGAGGCACGAAGATGTACCGTGATTTGAAGGAAAGTTATTGGTGGTCGGGTATGAAGAGGGAAATAGCCGAGTACATCAGTAGGTGTCTTACTTGTCAGCAAGTTAAGGCAGAACATCAGCATCCGGCTGGGTTACTACAGCCACTTTCCATTCCTGAATGGAAGTGGGAGCACGTGACTATGGATTTCGTGGTGGGGCTGCCACGGACGATTAAGAACTATGATGCCGTATGGGTTGTGGTCGATAGGCTCACAAAGAGTGCACACTTTCTACCTATCAACACCACCTATGCACTGGAGAGGTTAGCCAAGTTGTATGTGGATGAGATCGTGAGGCTACATGGGGTTCCTATAACCATTGTATCCGATAGAGATCCGCGATTCACATCACGATTTTGGCCGAAGTTCCAAGAATCTATGGGGACAAAGTTGAAATTCAGTACAGCTTTTCATCCACAAACGGATGGGCAATCTGAGCGGGT